AATAAATTCTTTACAAATCCTACCATGTGGATTCATGGATTTTTTTTTCCCATTCTGTCTCTCACAGTTGAAGTGTACCTCTGGTGCAAATTACTGACCTCTGTCATCATTTTCGGTGGAGGAACTTGCACAATCGGTGGCTGACTAAATACTTTTTTGCCCCACTGTATGTGGATTTACTCTTTCACACAGGGCTTTGTTTTTTCTTTAATAGTAACTGAAACCAGGATTTAATATTTTTTATCTATCATTAAAATTAGTTTGATGATCTGAAAAATGTAAGTGTGACAAATATGCAAAAATACTAATAAATGTGACAGAGGCCAAAACCGCTCTACTCGATTCACAGTGTCCATGAGCTAACTCAGTGTAGTTCGTCTGAATGTTAATGAATGATGAGAGGACTGAATCAAACCAGAAAACACTGGGCCCTAAAATAAAAAGAAACGTACAGCCCAAACACGATTCTCAGTTTCTTTTAGAAGAACTTACAGTGTCAGATTATTTATTCTAATGCAGTGAAAGGTCGTCTTTTTTAATCTCTGCTGCAAATGATTGTAAGAAAACTTGAAACACACCTAAAAGTAAAACGTCACCGGTGTTAAGAATCAACCACGAGCTCAACTGTGTTAGAAAAGCAACAGGAACAGAGGGAGCTCCATCACCTCCACTGTTCTCCACCACGTTACAAAGCCTGAGCTTCAGCGTGTTCTCTATGTGTTTTTGTTTATGGCCCATTCTTAGTAGGCCTTGTATGCGTGTCTGTCTGTTTGCTGGGTTTTTTGGTGCCCTAAATGTATGAGTCAGTGTGAATGACTAGTTTACATTTTCTTTATATTCAGCTTGAGTTTAGGGGAAACCGAGCAGTAATGCCACCTTTCGGTTTTTCTGTCTCTGCATGCAAATATCAGCTAAACCCAGACGCTCAGTACTGCATCAAAATTTCTGTTATCTTCAACTTCTAATCAAAACAATTGGATTTGAAATGTTTATAATAATGCACAATGAACTGGCCTAACTCCTAATTCCTTACACTGGAGGGGAAGAGGGATTACTGCTGGCACTGTGACAGTCTACAGTTTCTACAAGTACGTTTGGCATGTAACACAGTTGCACTTAAAGTAGAGTAGAAAAGCACTATCTAAGAACCAGTTCAGTTATGCGAGCTGCAGCATGCTGGCAGCACTGGTTCTACTGGTCAGTTTGACCTTGAGTAGGCTGGACCAGTGAAACTCCTCTTTCTGTCAGTTCATATTTAATTGTTTCTCTACGTGATAAAGAAAAAGCTGCTGTGACACAGAAAGAAATCTGTCAGCACGACTCTTTGGACTTAAACTGTAAGAAATAAATGTGCAAAATTACAGAAAACGTTCTGAGAGCTCAGACGACTGTCCAGTTTTTGTTTTTAATAACTGTAGTTTTAGAAGTTTCGATATTAGAAAGCGAAAAATAGACATTTTTCTGTCCTTGAATTGTTTATTGCTTACTGACTGTGTGTAGTGTGAACGGCCATCAGGCAGGAAAAGGTGTCCAACATATAAAAACTAGTGAGCAGCAGATCAAAGAAGTGTGAACGGCTTCAGGCACATTCAGACCTGTGAGACTCACACTGAGCCGCTGTGCTTCCTGCGTCTCTGCCATTCAAACACTTTGTGCATGCTCACTATGGAATATTCAACACTCAACTATAAATTTAGGCTTTTTCAATGAAGCAATTTTTACTCAGTGTTTTCATAAAAGCCTTATTTTTATGGATTCACTGCTACAGCGGAGAACACACACGAGGTTTAAGACCTGTGGCTGAAAATAAAAACGGGCGTCACTGCATCAGTTCTGCACTCACCAACATCATTTCATGTTTTCACTCATTTCTTCACTGTTTCCCGACGCGATGCTTTTAAACCCGACTCCCCGTCTCTCTGTGGACCTGGCCTGTACCACTACATTATCTGTCCTCAGAACTTTGCCCCCCTTCCTTCTTTCACAAAATGGTACGATCCCAGACTGTCTTTGCATGTGATTGGCCGCATGGTTTGCCCATCATAATAAAGTCCCACCCCTGCCCGCAGGGCTCTCAGCAGGGCTCCCACATACCGAGGAGTCGTTCATAATTGACAGATGAAATTATCTCGGTGGCCAGGTGTGGGCCTCGGGCCTACGTTTGACACCCTATTATTACATTATTATTAAAAGCCTCCACACCCACTCATTACCTGGAACAACTCCCTTTTTGAGAAATCTTTACCTCAGAGCTTCACTTAGTTTCTTGCGCCTGTGTGTTCTAGAAGGAGATGAAAGACTTGCTCATTATGGGATGGATCAGTCCAAATTTGATGTGTTAATAATGAAGAAATCCTATTAAGTTTCACAAATTTGCAACTGCAGCTATGGCTTAACAAGCTTTTATGTAAGACTCTACGATAATGAACTGTAGTAACTCCATATTACCTTTGTGAGCTGGAACGACCAGCCGCACATTTTGAGCCTCGCTCCCCTCAGTTATCCTTTAAATATGATCAGTGTGGATTCTCGTGGATTAAAGGAGGAATGAAAGCTGTCCGAGCAGCATGTGGGAGAGTACAAAAAGGGGGAAATAGCTTTTACCATCTTTTAAACCATGATACTCTAATGGAGTAGTAGTGTTACTATGAAAGAACTAAAACATGCCAAGGTATATGTACTGGTTATGCGTTCACTATTATAATGGCGCTCAACTCAATGGCGTTTTTAGGGTTTAATCTGAGGTCAGGTGTTTCGCTCAGATATAAATGCTTTCCACTGATACTCATAAAACATCCCCGCAGTAATGTGAAGAGCAGGCTAACAGGCTGCGGTCCGAGCAGCAGCCTAAATGTCAAAGTTTGTTCAGTTTGTGTAGTTCAACAGTTTCTCCTCCTCATTCTTTCTCTTTCAGCTTCCAGCGTTGATCTACTTTCCAATAGCTTCAGTATGACTCACGAAGCATATCTAAACACTCAGCAGTTGTTAGAGAGCGGTGTGACATCGCTGCTCCGTCCTTCAGCGTCTTCGCTCTCCTCCACGGGCTTCGCTGGCCCCTCCTCCTGTCGGGTCTCCGCCGAGCGAGCGGAGGAGACTCACCGCTCGTTCCCCGACGGAGGTTCACAACCAGGGTCACTGCTTAAAGCAGTCAGTGATCAGGAGGACTGTACTTTAAAATCGTTTTTGCTTTTTGGGGTTTTCTGCAGCACGTCATCTTAAAGTTTCGGTTTTAACAGTGTCGTTAAAATGGGACACAGGAGCCCCCCTGCAGGAGAGGAGGTAAGGATATCTGCATTTGACTGCAGTGCTTCAAGCAGACGTTTATGAAACCTTGCTTCAGCGCTATGTGCATCATTCAGCAGAGCCTCAAAGTCATGCATGGGGGATGAAAGTGCTGAAAGTAAAGTTGACCTTTGACAGATTATGACTGACATCTCAGGCGAGCCTTTTCACCAGAAAGTGAGCAGCTGGGTTTTTCTGTACTCTTTTCATTGTTCTGTCATCATAGTGACTTTACAGGCAGCTGCTGTGACGGATAATCCCGCAGATGAAGATGGATCTTCCCTCTCAGTTCGTCCTAAACACTCTGCTGGTGCTGATTATTGTTCCTCTTGCCACTTGTGGCTTCTGCCCCCGACTTTGCTCCTGCCCTCAGCCCACCGAGCTCCACTGCACCTTCCGCTCCCTTCTCACCATCCCAGCAGCTATACCCAAACACGTGAAACACATGAACCTGGGGTCAGTCGCTCTGGCATCCGTAGCATTGATTTAGCATGGTTATTAAACTGTCAGTGACTGGATTAAACACTTAATGCAGTGAAATGCTTTATGTAAAGACCGAGGCTTAGGAAGTGCATGAGTTGGTTTCATGTCTGTTATCCTCTCCACTCTGGGTTTGTTATTTAAGGTTCAACAGAATTAATAACATCACTGACAAATCACTGATGGGTCTGAGGAAGCTGGAGATGCTCATGCTTCATGGGAATGACTTTCACCAGCTACCTGATGGAGCGTTCACGGAGCTCAGTTCACTTCAGGTGCAATGACCTAAATCAATAAATGGTGGCAGGGGGATTGTTGTTTGAGCAAAACAGTGAATTTTAATGATGAATCCATATTAGTCTGAGCCTTTCATAATCTCTCATATGGTATATCATATGATTATGAGTGTATACATAAAGCCTATATCTCCTAAAATGCTCGGTTTTAATACAATAATAACTATTTTACTAATGTGCAAAAGAGTCAGCACATATTACTGATTAATTCAACACGAGCACTTAAATGAGATTGTGCAAATATCTTAGATTTATCCACACAGTCTAGTTTTAGGAATAAACAAGCAAAAGATATCTGAACCTGGGCCAAACTGTGAATCGAAATTTACAAAAGACATCCAACTTTAATAATCATTTTATCTGCTGGACAAATTCCTGATTCTTCCTAAGAATTTGTAAGATATGAAGTAAAAATTGTGTAATTTTAAATCCCAAATTTCTCCCTGAAATGTTAATGAAACAAAGCACTGACATACAAACTGTATGATGTACATGTGCCTTGATGCTGAACCTTGATGTCTGGTTCATGTATGTCTCAATGCAGCAGAAACTAGAAGTACTCTAATATGATGAGCAATAGAGACTTTCTCTGTTCTCCCTGCTCACTGATGTAGATGCTGAAGATGAGCTACAACAAACTGAAGGAGATCAGCAGGCACGCTCTCCACGGTCTGTGGTCTGTGGCCAGGTTACACCTGGATCACAACCAGCTGGAGTACATCCATCCAGACGCCTTCCAGGGCCTCACTTCTCTCTGGCTGCTGCAGCTGGAGGGCAACCAGCTTCAGCAGCTGCACCCAGACACCTTCACCACCTTCACTGTGAAGAGCCATTTTCATGTCTCAACTCTGAGGCACCTCTACCTGTCAGACAATGATCTGGTGACACTTCCTTCCAGGCTGGTAGGGACCATGCCCCAGTTGGAGAGCCTGTACCTCCATAGAAACCCTTGGATCTGTGACTGCAGCATGAGGCGGCTCCATGACTGGAATAAAAAGTTTCCAGGTGGTATTTTTAATATGTACGCTGCAATTATGTTTAGAGCTTTCTTTTTGTGATGGTTAAAGTAAACTAAGACTCAAAATGCATAAAATATTCAAAGAGACGTGATGATCTGATTTTATAACGCTCATGCTCTGTTCTTTGCCCAGGTGTTGTAAAATGTAAAAAGGATAGGACCCTTCCTAGTGGCCAGCTGTGTCCCATGTGCTCGTCTCCCAGACACCTCCAGAGAAAGGACCTCTTTGATGTGGAGAACCTGGTCTGCAGAAGCCCCGTCATCACCTTTCCTCACAGGATGTCCACACCTAAGGATGTTGAGAGTGAGGTTTTGACCACAGAGGATTTCATAGAACCATTTGGAAATCTCTCGTTTGGCCTATCTGATGAACATGGGAATGAACTGGATCTGATGTGTAATATTAGCAAGTCTAATGAACTTACCAAGATCAGCTGGCAGCAGAGCAGTCAGCCTCAGCTGACCAACATCACAGTGGCGGTAGATCTGGACTGTCCAGTTAATAGAGAAAAATATGAAAAACTGTGGAGGCTCATAGCATACTACAGCAGTGTGCCAGCACATTTACAGAGGGAAATTATTCTAAGCAAAGACCTTCATCAAACCCATATGTACAGACAGGACTCTGAGAAAGATGCCCTGTACTACACAGGTCTCAAAGTTAATATAACAGCCCAACCACCATGGCTGCTGCAAACATCTGTGAACCTTCAGCTGAACCGGCTTCAGTCGTCAGCCAGGATGGCAAAATTGAGTATGAGCACAGAGCTCTCAGAGATGGTGGAGACGGAGGAGGTGCAAAGACAGAAGAGGTCATGGGTCACGATTGAGTCAACAAACACCAGTCATAAAGTCTTCAGTGCTATCCTAGGAAAGCAAACTCGAATGAACTGCAGCGTGCACAGTTCAGGTCAACCAGTTATTCGCTGGATGCTGCCAGATGGCTCCAAAGTGGAGGCACCGTACTCAAGTCCAGGCAACAGACTGTCTGTGTCCCGCGGTGGAACGTTGATTATTAAGGCTGTCCGCCCCACAGACGCAGGAAGTTACTACTGTATCGCCAGGGCTCACGAAGACTTTGCTGTCTTGCCGTTCTATCTGACAGTGCAGGAATCCTCCAGCCCTCCCCCGAGGAACGAAACATCAATCAAACCTAGGGAGGTATTTGTAGGCAAACCTATTTCCCTGCATTGCACTGCATCTGCCTCCCCCGATGCTGAAATTAACTGGATTCTGCCAAACAGCAGCATCGTGAGTTTCCAAGCCAACTCATCCAGAGCTTTAGTCTATTCCAATGGCACTCTACATATTCCACAGTCCAAGTTATTAGACAGTGGTTATTATAAATGCGTTGCCATGAATCAACATGGTGTGGATACACTGGCCACAAAACTCGCTGTTATCAGGCACAACTTCAGGAAGTTTCCAGCAACACCTCAGTCAGCTTCAGGAGTCAACACTCAAATTAAAATCCCCACAGAAGACACAGAAGAAGCATCAGGGGACACTGAAGGCACTCAGGGTGGGGCTCCAGTGAGCCACCTGGAGCCTTTGAGAAGGAGAACTCCAGGAGGTGTGGTCCCGAGCAGGAGGGGCATTCACCCGTCCAGGCACTTCTGGCGGAAGCCCCCAGTGCTTCAGCAACCAAGAGGATCGCGTGTTGTAGACAGGAAGAATCCTACTGACAACACAAGGAGGATTAATATATCGAAAGGTAAAATAGATCCACAGAAATGGGCTCATATTTTGGCCAAGATTAGAGATAGAAAGGCTCAAAATGCTGTGACACCAGTCCCAACTCAGCACACAACAGAGGGGAAAGCTGCAGAGGGGACAACGCAGTCAAATGAAGCTACTAAAGGATCAGCAGACAGTGTGACTGAGCAGGCACGGCAGGGTTTTTTCAGGACGCTGCACACTCCTGTACACAATCCGCTGTTCAAAACTGATAAACAAAATGTACAAGACCAGGCCACACAACGTGTGACATCTAACAGCAACATTATAGACAACGCACACAGCATGCAAGCTACAACAGCACAGACATCCAACGATGCGGTCTTAGACCTACACACAAGTTCAAACAGTGTGTTTTCCCCACAGACCACATCTGTTCCACTGTATGCTGTCACGTTCTGGCAGTCGCTCACAAACACAGATGTTAATGAGGATAAAACAGCTGATTGGTCCAAGGAATCACAGAGGCATGTCAATACAGATAGACTAAAGGTTATTGCCAGTTCGAGGAATGATAACGAACCCTTTTTGAAAAGGATCCTTTCAGTAAATCCAAACAAATCAGCGAAAAGCAAAGAAGAAAAATATCCTAGTGAGCCTGTCATAAAATCTGATGATTTGCAGTCTGTAGCAAGGGCATCTCCAACAACTGGCTCTGAAGGCTCTGAATCCCCTCCACGCCTCCAACAACATAATTCCAGGCGAAGGAATGGGAGTCAGAGGAGGAGGCCAAACAGAAGGAAACAAAAGCTTGTGAAATCTGTCCCGTCTATGGCCATCACACCTGCCAAAGCTGTCCCAGCAACTGTCAAGACCACTCCCTCCACACTGCTAAAAATAGCTTCCTCAGAAGTTACAGCAACCAATCCCAGTACCACTGTTCCATTCACTGGCAGCCAAGAAGCGTCATCAGGAAAACTGAGTCATAAAGAAAGCACAGCCTCCAGGCACGACCACGAGGCAGCCACTAAACCCTCCTCCCCACCAGCTTCTCTCCTCCAAACAAAGGACAGCCATCTGCCATTATTAAAAAGCACGTTAGCGGCACCATCGCTTCCAGCAACTTTTCCAGAAGTGGGTGATACAAAGACAACCTCTCAAGCAGCCTTTGGAGTTTCAGGCTGTCCACTAGAGCACTTCAGTGCACCAACACCAGCCACTTTGCAGAGGCTTATAAACACGCCTGCTCCACCTATTAGGCTTCCTGAGGAGACACAAAGGTCAAGTGTTATGGGTGACCTTGGACCTCTGCCAAGCTCTGACAGCTTGTTGGTGGGTTTTTACGCCACCAACACTGAACAACTGCAGAGCAATGGGGAGGAGAGCCAACTGGGCCAGCAGTACACAACTAATGAAGGGATGCTGTTGAATGAGAGTGGGGAGGGGTTTTTGGCACCGCTGTCCCCATCCTCCACGCCTTTGATCGACCAAGTAATCAAGACAACCTCTGGGTACACTCCCAGTGACTTGACTGTGACACCAAGCACACTTTCCAAGGATTATTTGGAGACAGCTCTGGGTGTTACACAGACTTCTGCAGTACCTGAAAATTCACATTATACTTCTAGTCAAAGTAAACCCTCAAAGGTAGCTCAGAATCTTAAAGAAGCTCTAAATGAAAATGTTTTTCCTTCTACTGCTAGTACCTTTAAAGCAAAACCTACCTCTCCTGCCACTCCGAGGCTTGATCCTATAATGCGTGTCAAAGTGACAGTGGATACCACACTTCCCAAAATATCTTCCACAGAAGCCAAGATGGACTCTTCACTGAGGACCAGCATGCAGGAGACTCCCTGGATCAGAGTCGGCCATAATGAAGACCAACAAATAAACCCCATCATTAACATATCAGAGCCACGGAAAGAATTAAACTTCCAGCCCACAACCCAGTCGGCAGACCACAAACCAACTAGCACACGTCTGACGGGCAGACAGATCGTCTTACAGTCGGTCACCTCTGCTCCGACTGCTACAGTCCAAACGAATCCGCATAGAGAGACACTGTTAACAAGTACTCACAATGTGTCCAGGAAGCACCAGGTACCTACACAAGGATCTGTTCCAAGAGGAAAGCCAAGGATAACTAAGACTCATTTCCAGACGTTCACTGTTAAAGCTGAAACAGATGCTCAACTTCCCTGTGAGACCGAAGGTGACCCAAAGCCCTTCCTGTCATGGACCAAAGCTCTTAGTGGTATGTATGACTCAACCTCATTCATTCTTTTTTCCATACATTTTCAGAGCCATCATACGAAAACAGAAAACATATCATTTATTTATTCAAATGGAAACATCCAAAAATATTTTGATGTTGTGAAATGTTAACCAGAGCAAAATGTAACTACCTGCAGACTTATATAAATATAGCTTGCAAAGATGTTTTATTAGAAATATTGGCACATAGTATATCAAATAGCAGATTATCAGCAACATTTGCAAGCATATCAGTATGTTCAGACATTCCTTAATACTGTAGATGTGTTTCCATATAACCTCCATGACTGACGATGCTATGATGTAGATGATGCACTTGTAAGATTATGGTTATAGTCTTGAATTTTGTAACATTTTTATAATCTATGTTACTTACTTACTTTATTATGATATGAGTTTTTAAAAGGGCCTTTAGCCTGCTCACAATTAAAAGTAACTATTTTGCTCTTATATGGTACGGGGTTTTTTCCACGGTTGGCAATCACACTAAAATATTTGCATTTTTCAATAAGTCCTCTCATTTATTGTATTTTTGTACACTATGTAAATGTGACATCAATTTCTCTTGCGCTAAATATTTTATACTCTCAATTATTTTCATCTTAAATTTTATTCTGTGTTTGAGAAAAGACAATTTGTGTCTGTCCACTTTTGCAGCGGCGAATATTCCTCAGAACACCAGGGTCCAGAGGTTTGAGGTCCACCAAAATGGTACATTAATCATCAGGAGCACACAGCTCACAGACGGAGGCCAATACCTGTGCACAGCGCAGAACCAGTACGGCACGGACACAATGCTGGTCAACCTTGTGGTCTTGTCTCAGCCTCCGCGGGTCCTGCATCCTCAGCACAGAGAAATGACTGTGCATCTAGGTGACAAAGTCAGTGTGGAATGCAAAGTGGAAGGGCATCCTGCGCCCCGGGTCACATGGGTACTCCCTAACTACGTCCATGTAGCTGCTGGTTCCGTTTCTGTTCCATCTCAGCAGCACGTAGTTGTTGGAAATAACGGGATCCTCCAGATCAGCCAGGCCCGCTATACAGACAGAGGGATTTATAAGTGCATTGGCAGCAGTGCAGCTGGAACTGACTCTGTTTCAGTACGTCTTCATGTCCGAGCATTGCCACCCGTGATTCAGCAGTCACATCATGAGACTGCCACCATTTCAGAAGGCAGCCCTGCCTACATCCACTGCACTGCTACAGGTTCCCCTCCATCTGTTATTCGCTGGTTTACACCTGATGGTGCACAGCTCACTGCATCCCTAGACACTGGACAGAACCTAATTGTTTTCCCCAATGGGACTCTCTACATACAGCGTGTGGGCAAAAGAGATGCTGGGAGATACGAGTGCTCAGCCAGTAACACAGTGGCATCCAGCAGGAGAACTGTGATCCTGAACATAAGGAAGAATCTGTCCTCTGCCAAGGCCAGTATCACCTTATCATCACCCCAAAGAACAGATGTCATCTATGGGAGTAGTTTGTTACTAAACTGTGTGGCAACAGGACAGCCAGAGCCCCGAATCCTCTGGAGGACACCTTCTAAGAAGCTAGTAGATGCTCAGTACAGGTGAAACGTAAATCTTGTAATGAAACAAAATGCTCAAACTAAGTGTTGTCATTAGAAATCATTCAAAGCAATCTTAATTATTAATCATATGCATCAACTTTGGTTGTTTGTTTTTTGCAGTTTTGACAGGAGAATCAAAGTGTTTCCCAATGGCAGCATTAGCCTTCATCCAGTGACTGACAAGGACAGTGGCGATTACTTATGTGTGGCTCGTAACAAGATGGGCGACGACCATGTGCTGCTGCGGGTACACGTGCTGAGCAGACCAGCCAAGATCGAACAGAAGCAGCAAAGATCCAGTCAGGAGGTTTTGTACGGTGGGGACCTGACGGTGGACTGTGTGGCTTCTGGCCTCCCCAACCCGGAGATCAGCTGGGTTCTGCCGGATGGCACCATGGTTAACCCAGTCAAACAGAGCGATGGTGTCTCTGAGGGGCGCAGTCGCAGGTACGAGCTGTTTTAACTTCTACAAAGTGCTCCCGGTGTCTAACACAGGGGGAAAACACCTTCACCAGCCAGCATTTGTGCTGTCTGATCCAAGTTCTTCTGTGTAGATGGAAGTTTAACCATTTTTAACCCTGGAGAACCCATGGGGTCAGATCCGACCCCATGGGTTCTCCAGGGTTAATGAAGTTCTATTCTATGGTGATGCTTTGTTTATCAGAAGGATCTGTGAGTGTGGGAACCTAGTCACTAGAGAAATGACTGAACATCCATCTTCCTTTAACTGTTTCATGAACTTCTGGGCATTATTACAGAAAACCGAGCTAACCTTCTTTCTGTCTCTGTGCTTTCCCTTTTGCTGCAAGAACTCGACTTAACTGTAACTTAAACAATTCTGCCACCATGGGGTCAAGAGCAGCTACAGAGCACGTAAATGAATTATTTAAAAGTACAATATTGCTCCAATAAATTGTATCCATTTAAACAAAAATGACTAAAAACATAGCTTTGCTAGTTTGCCTTATGAAAAGTCTGCAACTACCCCATAAATATGTTGAAAGGTGTCTTATGTCATTGGTCTCATTTCATTAAAACTAGACTCCCTTGGAAACGATTAGTCGAGTCTCTAGTGCACCATACCACCTGAAGTTTAATGACTCTTCTATTGAGCATTGGTAAAATATGTATTTCTTTTTGACATATTTTGGCTTAAACAAAACATAAAAAGATTCACAAAGCATCAAAACTAGAAGTGGCTTTAAAAAATCGATTTCCCAGTTCAAACCGATTTTAATTTGAATAATGCGTTAAATCGATTCATTACCCTGAATCAATTTTTAAATATAAATGTATTTTGCCAGAAATGCCAGAGTCTCCGCTCAAAGCTCACTAAACTATTTCAACAACCACCAAAAAGCTAAAACAGCAAACGAGAGCAGGTAAACAGATTCCACACAAAGATATAAACACAGAGCGTGGATCGTTCACCCGACCGCACGTAAACAGGCACGCCGTCGGTGCTGAAGGCCGACGTCTCACAGATTCTGATGCTGCAGGTTTTGTCTCTCCATCCAAAATTCACTGAACCAGCAGCAAAAGAAGATCCAAACTAATCTTCATGTTTGATAAACATCGTTAATTCCCTCTGACTTTGGCTGTTTTGCTTCCACCACAACATAATCACACTTCCTGCACAGCTTTTTCTCTCTCAGTGAACTTCAAGAACAGTTTACCATCCTAGAGAAATCCTAGAGTATTTAAAAGTAGAATGGGAGGCAGAGCCTTCAGTTTTCAGGCCCCTCTTCTGTGGAACCAGCTTCCAGTTTGGATTCAGGAGACAGACACTATCTCTACTTTCAAGATTAGGCTTCAAACTTTCCTTTTTGCTAAAGCATATAGTTAGGGCTGGACCAGGTGACCCTGAATCCTCCCTTAGTTATGCTGCAATAGACGTAGGCTGCCGGGGATTCCAATGATGCACTGGGAGTTTCTACTCCACTCACTATGTATTAACAGACCTCTCTGCATTGAATCATATCTGTTATTAACCTCTGTCTCTCTTCCACAGCATGTCTTTATCCTGTCTTCCTTCTCTCACCCCAACCAATCACAGCAGATGGCCCCGCCCCTCCCTGAGCCTGGTTCTGCTGGAGGTTTCTTCCTGTTAAAAGGGAGTTTTTCCTTCCCACTGTCGCCAAAGTGCTGCTCATAGGGGGTCATATGATTGTCGTGTTTTTCTCTGTATCTATTCTTGTAGGGGTCTACTGTGCAATATAAAGCACCTTGAGGCGACTGTTGTTGTCATTTGGCGCTATAGAAATTAACTGAAATTTAATTAAATTAACAGATTTCAGTCAGACTGAAACATCAGGTGTAATCACTAGTTATTTTTCCTTTGGTAAGAAAAGAACTTCATGTGACATGAATATGTGAAGTTTAAATTTAAATAATGTAATTATATATGTTGTATTAATTTAATACATTCTCTTTGTTGCCAACCAATGAATCCAGTCATGAAAGTGTAACAGTGAGTAACCATTTCTTATCCTTCTCTTCTGGAACTACATGTAGGTATGTGGTGTTTGACAATGGGACACTTTACTTCAACAATGTTCGCATGCCAGAACAAGGTGACTACACATGTTACGCGGAAAACCAACATAGCAAAGATGAGATGAAGGTCAGAGTCAAGATCAAAGCTGCACCCTCCCCACCGAAAATTCAAAATAAAGACCCACAGACTGTCAGCGTTTTCTATGGCAACGAAGCTACACTGAGATGTAATGCCAAAGGTGAACCAGCGCCAGTCATCACATGGTTATCCCCTTTAAACAAAGTGATTTCCCCCGCATTAGACAAATACCAGGTTCTGGATGATGGGACATTGGTAGTTCAAAAGATCCAAGGTTTTGATAAAGGTAACTACACATGCATAGCTAGAAACAATGCAGGACAGGACCGTGAAGTTACCAGACTCGAAGTCTTGATAACACCTCCAGTGATCAGTGGGTTAAGAGGAACTTTGAATGCTATCAAAGTAACCGCAGTTCAGAATCAGCAAAAGCTGCTGGACTGCAATGTACATGGAAACCCCAGCCCTCGAATCACTTGGCTTCTGCCAGGAAATTTGACCCTTTCTGCTCCATATTACAGCAATAGAGTGGTAGTTCATCAGAATGGTACCTTGGAAATCCATTCACCCAAGGAGACAGACTCGGGGCAGCTGGTTTGTATTGCTCGTAATGAAGGAGGAGAGGTCAGGTTGGTGGTCAACTTGGATGTGAAGACAGTTGATGAGGGGCCACAAATTAGACCTCCCAAAGCAAATGTTCAGTCACTGAGTGTAGGCAATGCTGTGGCTTTGAATTGCTCCTTTGAGGGCTCAATACTACTGCCTGTCACCTGGATCCTGCCCAGTGGTACACCTTTGCGTAGTGGTGCTCGGTTCTCCAAGTTTTTCCACCAGCCTGGTGGCTTGCTGATCATCAGCAACCCCTCTATGGCTGAGGCTGGTATGTACCGCTGTCTGATACATAATTCAAGGGGGCTTGTGGAGCATACTGTTACACTGACCCCAGGAAAAAAACCAGAGATCAACAGCAGATATAATTCCCCTGTCAGTGTCATGAATGGGGAAAACCTTTGGCTTCACTGTCAAACCACTGGTGAAGCACTCAGACTAGCATGGACTCTGCCCAGTGGAGTCGTCCTCAGCAGACCACAGAGAGCTGGGCGATACACCATACAGCCCAATGGAACCCTTGCCATTCAACAAGTGTCAGTCCATGATCGGGGTCCCTACGTTTGCCGAGCTAGTAATGAATATGGCAGCTCCTTGCTCTCCACTGTGGTAAATGTAATAGCATACCCACCTCAAATTACTAACGGCCCTCCCTCTGTGACTTATGCTAAACGTGGAGTTGCTGTTCAGTTAAACTGTGTAGCAACTGGCATCCCTAAAGTTGAGGTAGCATGGGAAACACCTGACAAAATTCGTCTGGCTGCCAATGCAAAGCCAAAGCTCTTTGAAAACAAGTACCTCCTTCCGCAAGGTTCCCTCATCATCCAGAATCCAACACAAAGAGATGCTGGCATCTACCGATGCACAGCCAGAAACGCCATTGGCTTGGACTCTAAAGCTACAGTTCTCAACGTGTTCTAAAATGTCACCGTTCCTCTTCGTCTGTTGCTGCCCAAACAACTGCCTGATTAAAAGGAAGCGTTTAATCACCACATGTAGTAATAACTTCAGTTATAATGATGAGTTGATTAAAACCTGCAGTGATGCTTTGAGTGTTTGCTCTTTAGAGGCCGTTAGTTGAAGACACCGTGTGCCAGTTTACAGTTTTCTCCATTTTGCAAACCTCCCATTTCAAGCATGTAGGAAATATATGCAGTTTTTTTGGGGTTTTTTGAGGACCAATTCACAACAACGATTTCCTCAGGCCACTTTACATTGTGAGGTAATTAGCCTACACAACTGGAAAGAGAAAGCAACAGTAATTGTCTTCTGCTGGCACTTCACACTATCAAGCAGAATAGCTGTGTTCACCTGCTATGTGCAAGACAAATACTGTAATAAAGATAGACTTAAATAATATAGAACATCGTTGTTTCAAGTGACTCAGGGACGTGGAGCGTGCATGCCAGCATGCAAAACACAAAATGACTCTTTTATTCAGTAAAGAAGTGAAGATGATGTTGATTCGTTTTAGTATAAGATGCTTATCTTATCAAGGATGTGCAATGCTTTAATTTATTTTTCTAAACTTTTGTAATATAATTGTTAATCGGAAATCTACATTTGTATTCAAACTAAATATGTGGACAGCGATTTTGTTTTGCTGGCTTGTGATTACCTCAGCTGCTTATGATGCTGCCGGGGTGCGATGTGCAGGTTATGACAGATGGATCACGCCTAACCACAATCGTGTACATGAGACTGGTGCTAAATGAACAACATTGGAATAATTAGCATTTACGCCAATGACTGCCAAACTGTTCAGCATGTTAAAATGTAGCCTGGCGGGACAAAGCTGTGCAAAGAGTTACTCTGCAGACCCGGCCTTAAACTATCCGGCTTTGGCTCTATCAGCTCCACTCAAAGTTAATCACGCCAAAACATTTTATCCTTTGGCTGATCTCCAGTTGATCAGTGAGCATATATTCCCAGCTGTATGTGTACCTTTTCTTCAGTGGAACAGTTATTTCTGACAAGGACAGATGATGTCAGCCTGTAAAGAATTGCTAAACAGCTCATTTAATTGTGAAATACTTTTGAACTTAATAAAATTGACTGAGAATATATGTAATTTTGTTGTTGTTGTATTTTTATTTAAAGAAGCTGAAACTGCTGGCATCCTGTGCTTTTCATAAGAAAGGCCCAACCTGAATATTTCCATGTTTTTGTACCTTGGTGCAGATTTTTCAATAACTCACAGCAACGTGGAGCATCTTTGAATCTGCTTCTGCAGAGTGCTGACACTGTACTACGTTCTCATATGTAAATAATTTGTGTCTGTCAGACTGTGATGCGTAGCAGTTTTCCTTATTTGAATATAAAATTCCTCCACATTTCCACTAAGCTAAAAAACAAAACCTTTATTTCTGCTGAGGTTGGAAAGCGAACAAATTGAAAAAGTGATGACTCAAGAATGTTTTGCCACTCTGCTAAAAATGTTTGTAGTATTTTCTTGGAAATATAACTTTCTAACTCTAAATAAATAATTCAAGAGTGCACTTTTTGTTTAGCTGGCCTTATAGATCGAACTTTGCAATTAGGACGAGGGAAGCTGGTCGCAGCTACGCTGATAGTCGCCTCGGGGAATATAGCCACAGTCTGCAAAGCTGTGAGGAAATCAGTTAGATTAGCATATATGTCCTAAAACAATCCCACTATGAGAATTTTAGCATCAGCTACTCTTTTTGTGACAGCTGGTATCAGAATTGTCAGGGTTAATCAGTAAACGGACAGATTTTCTAAAGTGCTTTTCTACTCTCCCGGAGCGCAGTACTCAACTGTGGTACACCACCCAACTTCTCAAATGCTGTGCAGCTTTTTCACCAGTAAAATGACTGGAATGCAATGGTGCATGTTTTTTAATAATGTGGCTTCAAAGATTTAAATGCAGAACTGAATAACCTTGAAGTCTTGGTCTGTGACCCAGGAGGTACTAGACTACAGTTTGGAGATGCCACCACGGATGGTTTCCTCCTGCTGTAACTGTGGTTTTCTCACTGATCAGGATTATGTAATGCCCTCCTCTGGGTGTTTATGCTCTTCATATGTACCTGTTACTTTGTTGTGCTTACCCGCTCTGACTTCAGATGATTTACAAAGGGAAGTCAAATCATAGGAAATGGAAAAGGACCCTTACTTCAGGGATTAGTGGTAATGAAAGCATGTGCCCTCCTGCTCAGAGACATCAATATATGGAGAATCTGCTGTGATCTATGGATGACTAGAGATTTTCACATGATGTCACAGCTGACTGATGAACCCTAAGCTGGGTGAGAGGCACTTCATGGCTGCGTAACAGAGAAGATAAATGTAATGGTTAAAGAGAAGAAAATGCTTTCTCTCTTTGGACCATGAGAATAAGGACGTACAGATGCCTCTGCAATGAGAGCAGCACTAGCTCATCGTAATGATCAGATTTGGAGCTTTGAGCTTTGAGTGTTAATGTGGCAGGTTGCTCATTTGTGACAAAGACACTGAGCTGAATGCTCACGCTCATTCTAAATCATATCAGAGAGACTGAAAAAGGGACGAGTTTATTTACTGGGAGACTGAGACAAGCTGCCTGATGGTCAGCCAGTCCAATGAGATTCTGTGCTAACATGTTCACTTCACCATTTCCATTTAATATTTACCAGTGTTCAACACTGTAACCAAAATCTTCTGTGTTCTATAATCAGATTTTTAAATATAAATTAGCTTTGTTTGGCATCCAAACTTCAGTCAGTTATAAAAACTATTGAGACCATTTTATCTGTAACATCTAAATCCACTGGCAGTGGGGCACTGGTTATCACTTTGTAGTACAGTGTCCTGCTCTGGTGTTGTCGTTTACATAGACATTATTCTGACACGTACAAAGTGTTAAAGAATAAACACCTGAGATCCCACACAACAGGGGGCTACCCCAGCAGTACACTACGGCCCATCACACCATCCAAAGTGAGCACAAACAGCCTCCCCAGATCCCAATCCAAGCATGGGATGCAATAAACCTGATCCACACATACCTCCACCTGCAGGACCAACCGCCTCTGACACAGTCCCTGTGACAACCCACCAGGGTCAGAAACAACAAAAGTAGAAAAAGAAGAGGGACAAACATATCATATCATCATCTGAAAAAGCTTCTAGTTGACTTGTATACATTCAAAGAGTTCTGTTGAAATGAGGTAAGGAAAAAAACAGAAGCATACATGTTTTAAAAGCATCTATAGTTCTGAATTTCCTGTTTAATTAGGTGAGTTTCCTTTCATGCTCCAGACAACCTCCCATCTTCTATTCTTAATCTCTTTTCCTTGACCTCAATGATGATGCCATCAATCAAGGAAACGTGTGAACATATTCCAGCTTCAATCTGGGAGACAGACACTCTGTAGTTTTTAGATTAGGCTTAAGAATTTCAAAAAAGATTTTCACCGAGCCGGACCAGGTGACCCTGGATCCACCCTTCTCAGGATGCTTGCTCAAAAGGGGTCGTCTGATTGACGGGGCTCTCTCTGTGTCATTTCTGAACTGAAAATAAATCTTTTGCCATCAAAAATGTGTTTTTTATTCATCAAATGGACTGAATATAACAGAAGTTATTCATTACTATGCTATGCATGATTGGAATAAGTTTTAAGTAATTTGATTTATTTATGGGGTTTTTATTGGATTGTATAACACTTGTGGTCCTTGTGGACAAAAATGACCCCAAAGTACAAAGTGTTGCAAAGAGCCGTATTTTCACAACATACTGCTTTCAAACATCTTTGATCTTGGATCACTGATGTGTGGGGTCAAGCAAAGGTCATAACAACCACAACAGGCAGCACAATGAGGAGGCAGGTGCTCTATATTCAATGAAATTTTATTTATACAGCGCCAAATCACAACAACAGCCGCATCAAAGTGCTTCATAATGTAAGGTCGACCCTACAATAATACATACACAGAAAGTATGAAAAAAGTACATTTTTTTTACCATGTTGTGCAAAGCAATGACCAGTAGAACAAAGCACATATTGTCCTCTAATAAAATGAGGAGGAAGAATCAACGATCAGTTTATGACATCCTGAGTCTGGTAGAGAAGTTTTAAAGGTGACACAAGATTAATCATAGAAGCACAAAAAGGACATAATTTCTTGATAAAGACACAATAGATGATCATCGTTCATGACACAAACGTGCTCCCATTTGAGGTGTATGGAACAAGTGGGTGTTTCTCCTGCTGTGATGTAAGATCCTGGTACTGATGTGACTGTATGAGCACCAAGTCCCCTTCAGAGGACTCTGTCCAACAGAACATCCAAGTAAACCAGGGAACTATGAGATACAAACATGGGCAGCATGTGATGCAGGTCCAGCTGTACATGAAACATGCTCGTGTGCGATGGCAAACCGTCTGTCCTGCAGTCAGGACACGTGAGTTGTCCCTAACATTGCAGGTTTCCAAAAGAAAACAATCACCTGTAACAGCTTGTTTACTGTATATGCCCCTTGGCCTGCAACTGCAGAAAGAATGCTGTCCATGATGGGACCAGTGCAGAGGAATAAACCTGAGCTTCCTCCTGCACTTGGGTCAAATATGGACACGCCTTTGTCCTCATGAAAGTTTGCCTTCACTCAGACTCATGCCCTCCTACCATGCCAAAATATAGAAAACTGTCAGGCAATGAGTTGGAATAAAGTTGAATAAAACCTTGAAACACAGAGATGGATGATATTTTATACTTGTTGCTTTATAAACAGTCAAAGCAAACGGGGTCATTTTTGACCCCTGAGGACCACAGGTGTGTGGAGGACATTATGAGGGTTAAGCTGCTGCCAGCGTAGTGCAGGTGACTGTCACACAACAAAGGCTGAAATAATCTAACCCAGCTTTCTGTTGGTCATCCTAGGTTACTGCAGTTACTCGAATCATTTCAAGAATTGTATCGCCTCCGTGGACTGATCTCTTGATTCCTTTTAGTTTTCAGGACTTAATGAATGAGGTGGTCATGTGAACTTATTAACCCTGTCATGCATGAACTATGCCAACCTCAATCAGGACTTTTATTCATCTTTAGGCATGAAAAGATGAATACAAATCCTGACTGAGGTTATCATAATTCATGCATGAAACAGTTAAATAACAATAATTACAAAGAAACACATCATACATCTATAGTAACATTAAAGGACCAGGAGTGACACATCAGTGTCCAGTGTAGGGGCTTAAGTATACCATCAACACTGACACGAATACAAGACAACAGCCTTTGCATAGCTGTCCACTGTCGTGACTACCATGTGTGAAAGGGTTGACTTATCCCAACTCTGCACTCACACACTAATCTTGAATGAATTAGACTGAAGGAGGAATTGCTTAGAAAGCCGGGCACATCACTGCTCTTAGCCGAGGCCTTCTCACATCTTTACTCTTGCTTTACATTCAGCACACTGCATTGTGTTGTGGTGACAACATTATAGGAGAAATGCTTATGAAAATTACATGCACTGTGCGCCCATTGGATAAGGATCACACAGCATCCTGCCAACAGCAGAGAGACGGCTATTAATCTCTGCTTTTGCTTCTGTGATGAGCTGAGAAGATGGCCACTCTAAAGGACCACAGTGCCCCCTACTGGAAACATTAAAGAACATCCTTAAGAAATAAGGTAGTGAGAGTGTGTGTTTGTGCAGATGCACACATGGGGTGGCCTAGGAAGTTTTTATAAATCTGACTACATGACCAAAAGTAACAGCTCCACAAAACAAGCAATTTTGTTGCAAGTTGATTCAATACCAGCTCAGAAATCACAAATTAAACTGGTGCTACTGGTTTCTCAAAACCAGCTAAAACAGAAAGCAGTTCTTATTACACGTTAAAAAGCAGAAGCCATCATCAATCATTTCACCTGCTTTGGTGCACATTAAAGAGACACCAGCTACACTATGGCGTTATTTTTGTGCCTCTACTCTGAGTGCACATAAAAAATGTTGCAAGTACAAATGTTGCATTTTGAGAAGAAAATTATTTTGAGCAAAGAAAAGTTAATTTGAGTGAACAAAATTCATTGCTGTGTGCA